AGAGACACCCAGGGAGAGAAATGTCTTTTGATTGCTCTGGAGAACAAAGGTTCCTGTGGATATCTGCTATATTAATAATAATGGCTTATGTGTCTCTGATTATATTTGGTTAAAGGAGAAATTAATAACTAAGAAATAATAAATAACAGAATGTGGAAAGTTTAACATCGCCACAAAATATACTGTGTGCACATTTCAAATGAAATGACAAAAATAGATTTTTTTGGAAAAACTCATCTAGAATGCCCCTTAAAATGTCCAACTGATTTTCACAAAATAGTCATACAATTTCCTGATTCATAATCTTCATTTGTGTAGTGGGAACATTTGATTTGGACATCAGTTCTCCTTGAGAATACTATGAAACAGGATAGTTCAGTATTCATAAAGATTTACTTACACAAAAAATTACTCCTCAAGCAATGAAGTACATGGAACATATACAAATATGTCTAGAAATGTCTACTATGAGTGGTGTTATTTTCCTAAGGAAAAAAAAGCATTACTTGTAAGAATAATAATAGGCAATCATGTCTATCACCATCAAGAGGGTTGATTGTATATTTGGAAGTCATCCATTATTACTGCTGGGACATATATACATTACACACACAGGCACATACACCAAAGTTTTCAGGGAAATACTCATCAAAATATGCCTTTCATTTAATTTTATGTAACACTGAAAAATGTGAGTAAAACACCTCACTTATACTCTGCATAAAAGAATGGTTCATTTTTTTTTCCAGCCAAAACTCAATAGTTGGTGATGTATTTAATCTTATCCTAAAGAAAACTGGAACAGGAGCCAGGGAACTTAGCTGGGTAAACGTAGGAAGTCATTTAATCTCTCTTTCAGTTCTGCCTACCTCACAGAGTAGCTTCACAGATGAAATGTAGATAGAAAAGTTCTTTGGAAAAAGTAAAGCACCATATAAATGCAAGATAGTGTTTCTTTTGTTGTTGCTCTATGAATGTGAACCATTAGAAATCTGATGCCAAACGTGGGCATACACTTAGCCATAAAACACAGCTTTTTGAAACACTCACTCTGGATAATACATCTTTTGTTTTTCACTAGTATCATACTCTATACTTCACATTAAACAGGATACACTGAGTTCTGTAGCACAGGACTTTTAATACTATAAAAATAAATTTTAGACTTCAGGCCTGTTTGAGAACTAGGTGGCTAACTTTTGCAGACTACATTTTTTTAAAGTCAATTCCTTGTAACTTACAAGTCATGCCTTAACTCTAATATATTCAGTGTGTAAAAAATGTATTCCTCCCCGACCTCATCCCATGGTAGCTTTCAAAACTCTGTAACAATTAAAATTGTGTGGGCAGGGCTTTTTGTTTGAATGTTTCGCTTTATATGCCCAATTATAATAATGTTGGTTAGCATGTGTTAACTAAATGAAAGTTCAATCTTTTCTAAATTTTAGATATGTATTCATTCATTCATAAATTCATTTATTTAACAAGCATTGATTAAGTGTTCGTTATGTGTCCATTTTAGTAATTCTGAGGACTCATAATCAAAAAAGGAGAAAAAAAGCAGCCAAAGAAGTACTCACAGATATATTTTAAAACATGTCTCTGTCGAAGTGTTATGAAAACATACAAATGAAATTTCTTAATTCAGTCTGAGGAGTACAGAAAAGTCCTGAGTAGATAATAAAATTGAGAAATTGAGAAAATAAGATTTTTGATTGAGAAAAAATGGAGTATTAATAGAAATAATAATATTGTTGGGAAACAACTCTTCATGGGTTTCTTGCATATCTCCATGTCTTAGGAGCAAGACACTGATTCCCTTTCCTTGGGAATATCTCTTCAGGAATGTTTGTCTGGCAAACAGTTTTGGAAAAAAAATATAGTGTCTCCCCCTAAAGCAAAGGGCAGGCATACCTACTACTCATTATGAAATGATGAGATTCTCCAAGTGCAGCTCCCGAAATGTGACCCATAGTCTCAGGTGCACGTTCACCTGGTCCTCCTACAGTGTATCCTTTTCCAATGACCCACCTTTCACATATTTTGACAATATTTGATGTGAAATCACCTTCTGGTGATCTTTAGTCTCTTCCTGAGTTTTACCATCTCTTAACTGACTTTTTCTAAGGAACTTGGATATGCACAAACAATGACTAGTAGGCAAATCCACCTACATACACATAGACATCAGTGATTCAAGCCTAAGCTTGTAATCGTTCCACCAGAACATGCCTTTCCTCAGATATTCCTCACCACATACTATTTTTTGCCTTCTCTCTTACCTCTTACTGGTCCATTTATTACTGGTTCTATTTTGGCATATACCTACTCTATGCATTGACACATAAACTATGCTCAGTAATTACTTGTTGATTGTATTAGTGAATTTCTTCTGTCACTGGCTTAATTTAAATTGCCTAGGACAACTATATAATAGCATTAGATTCAAGAAGAATCTAAAATATTATCAAATGAGTACATATTTTGGTTTGATTGAAGTGTCATAATTGTTAATGATTTATAATTTTTTTTCAGATTGCTCACTAATAATGCCAGCTATGGCATATTGATGCAAAAGAAGATTTCAGACTCTTTAACTGTGCTCATATATTGTTATCATTTTTAAAAAAACATTGTGCATTATTTTTTGATGGACATTGCCATTTAATAAAGAACTCTTCTTCCAATTATGCTCCAAGCTTCAGCTGTTGTAAAGCAGCTTCAGGAAACCATCAGTGATCATGAGACGACATGGCTTAAGACTGCCTAATTTTGTTTTTGTTTCATTTCTGCCAATTTAGGACTGGAGGTAGCAAGACAGAGGAGCGAGCTTTTCTCATTTACTCCACCTTCCTAAGCCATACGTTTGCTTTGTCACTTGGTTGAAATTATCGTCACTCTATTAACTCTTACCGTCTCAGTGGAGCCTGAAGCTGAGGACCCTAGGACTCACACTCATCCCTTTGACCACCCAAGTTAACATCCTGCATCACAACCTGCACAGAAGATGCAGAAATAAGATTTCTTTTCCTTTTAGGTTATTTTTTTTTTTGCTTATTGAATTGTATGGAATTGTGGAGTGTGGCCTGTAAGCATTGTTATAGGGACTATCTGGGTCTTTTTGTTGAGTTGGCATGGAATGCTGATAAAGTCAATAGCAGCTTAGGACACTGAAATGGCCGCAACATAGACAAGGACTGGTTCTGCATTCAAAGCAGCCACTTTACCTGTGTATACTAATTGGTTTAAATTCATCATTCCTAATGAAAGGCAAAACAAAAAACTTTGAAGTTTAGGTCCTATGGATGTAGACTGATTCTATCAACTACCCACCTTCTGATTTTAACTACCCACCTTCTGATTTTAACTGTGATATGACACTTAGAAAGGCTGTTACTGAATATTTTCTATTTTAAATATCAACCTTCCAGATAGCAATATTTAGAAGAAAAATGTATCTTCTAAACTAGGTCCATAGTACCTAGTCCAGGGACAAAGGTTTCCAAATCCACACCATTGCTATCTAAGCTATGGGCAAAAGGTAGAGCAAGGTGTTTTTGGCTGGTGCTAGGCTGTTCCCAGTGGGATATTCAGGTTTAGGTTCTATGGGAGGTCTGTCTTTCATGGAGGAGCATATAAGTGGTAACAGTGCTGTGTGACATAGAGAAGAAATAAACAGCACATTTTCTTCTCTGGTTTCATTTTTCTGAGCCAAATAAGGAAAACAAAATCCACAGTCAAGTTTAAGGTGTAAAGAGTGGCGTCTTGTATGCTTCTTTATGGTAAAAGTCTTTTAATTTAAATATGTAATTTTTATTATTAATTTTTTTAATTTTTAATTTTAAAGATATGGGATACAATTCAGGGTTAGGTATACAAATGTTCATTATGCAGGTACCTTTTTTGATGAAGTGTGACCACCCCCCTGCCACTGGCAGATTCCCATACTGCCAATCTCGCCTCCCCGCCACCCCCTAGCAGTTTCCCACTACTGCCAATCCTTTTCTTACAGTATTACGATAATTGTTCAAGGTCTGCTTATAAGTGAGAACATGTGATACCGAGTTCTTTGTTTCTGTGATAAATCACTCAGTATTATAGACTCTAACTCATCCAAGTTTCTGTGAAGTTCATAATTTTGTCCTCCTTTATGGCTGCATAATATTCCATCATGTCTATGTACCACATTTTTTAATCCCGTCCTCTTTTGATGGGCAGCATTGAAACATAATTGGTTCCATGTTTTTGTTATTGTGAACAATACTGCAATAGACATATGTGTGCAGGTATCTTTTTCATAGAGTGTTGAGTTCCTCTGGATGTATTCCCAGTAGAGGGATTGGGGGGTCATATGGAAGGTCTATTTTAGATCTTTTAGGAATCACCAAACTGTTTTCCACAGAGGTTGTATTAGATATACTCCCACCAACAGTGTAGAATTGTTCCCTTTTCACCACATCCTCTTCAGCATCTGTTGTTTTTGAGTTATTGATGATGGCCATCCTGACTGGAGTTAGGTGTTATCTCAGTGTAGTTTTAATTTGCATTTCTTTGATGACTAG